CTGTACTGTTAGATTTCAAAAGGGTAGTTCATAAGCACTAATAACATTTGTGGCAATCTGAGCTAAGTTAATGAAAAAAGATAATCAAATCTAATGCTCTAGGGCAAGATATGTGATATCTCCAGGGGTCATAAAGAGATCATACAGCTGTCTTGGGGCAAGGGGCGGTTCTATGTGTGAGTGCAAGAAGAGGCAAGAGGCAGCAGAAAAGTGAGGGTCACCTTGCTGGTCACTGGCAGAGGCAGGAGGAGATTGCTAGGTATATCACAGAGATGCAGATGCTTATTAAGCTAATGACATTTTTAGTAATGCTGAACCAATAGATAAGTTTCAGCTGATCCCAGACATTTGTCTCAATGTGTTGATTGGGAAATTGGATGAAGTAGTCTATGCATGGTTCTGCCTTGTCCACAGCAGGCATATACTGACTTGGGAGCTGACCAAGAATAGCATTAAAATAGCCTTTGGAAATTTTTTTGAAAACACAAGCTTCAGTATGAAACTCACTTCTGAAGCAAATGCAGTATTTTATTGCATCTTTAGATATTACCCAGTAGGGAATTCTTCTTGCTTCTAGCTATAAACAGAGATTTTTTTTTTTTTGTGGACCCTTTCATCATCACATACTGGTATGTCACTTGAGGGTCCAAACAGGGACGTTGTCTTCCTTGTAGGCATGTAACTGATAATGTTCAGCAAAGGACACTTGCAATGGGAATTATAGCCAGCACCCAAACCCGTGTTTTCTCTCACAGACTTACAGATTTACTGCAAGTACCTCTTTCATCTTACTCTGCTTTCTGTACGTTCACTGTGAGCATTCTTCTATTTCTACTACTGCTCTCTTTAATACAGATCTGCTTTTGACTACAGTAAGACTTCTGTCCTAGTTTCAGCCAAAGACAGGTTAATTTTTAGCTGCAGCCACGAGGTGGCAGAGCCTGGAGCTGTGTGTGTGTGTGCGTGTGTGTCTAGGTTGTGACTCTATGCCATGCACTTCATCACAGGGAGGCAGAAATAAGGGTTTCTCCCTTCCAAGGAGGATGATGTGGCTTGATGACATTGACAATGTGTTTAATGTGTTTTTCTCCACTCCCCTGGCAGCAGAATGCAGTTTGCTTTCACCTGGAGGGACATGCAGCACACCTGGAATTGACTCCTCCATGGGTGGAAGCACAGCCCCACCCTCTGCCATGGACAGATCCAGGCTGCACTGGAAAACAGTGAGGCTTCAGAACACCTGCAGTTCTTTGATAACATCATTGTATGGAGCAACATGGCAGAGGAATTTTTTGAGAAAGGGGGAATATAACCCAGATCCTCCTGAAGGCCGGTTCTGCCATAAAACAAAGTAAGATTAATGGACCTGCCCAGGAAATTCAAGTCCTTGGAGTAAAATGGCAAGATGAATGTTGTCACATTCTCATGGACACAGTCAAAAACCAGCAAAATACCAACTGTGTTCCCACCAACAGGCAAGAAGGAAACATAGTTTTCTATCTCATTGCTCTTTCCAGTGAATTTTTCATATCTCAACTACCTGCTCTTTGTCTGTCTTACTGGAGGCAGGGGAAGAAGGGGAGTGGGTTGTGGTTTCCATTTTAGTGGGGAAACTAAATTATGTCATTCCATTCCTACACCACAACTTCTTATACCAAATTCTAGCCATGTGAGGATATCAAATGCTATAGCCTGTGTGTATATGGCCAAAGGTAGGAAAAACAAGAAGGCTAAGGAGTGCATGAAATGGTCCCTCCTTCCATATGCCTTCCTAAACCTCAGAGACTTCCTAAATTAGGTGTTTTAACTACTATAGTTTTCCCTTGATAGTTAATAAATTCTGAATAGATGCACTGGAACCCTTTTTGAACATTTTTGAATAGATCTTACTAATTTTCTGTAACACTGAATAAGGAGCCCTAAGAGTTCTCCAATAAAGGGACTTCTGAAAGTAAATATGTGTGATGGGCAGGTGTCATTTGTTGCCTTCAAGTGTCCTTGCAGCCTACAGTGGTGCAAGTTCCCCCCAAGCAGCAATCTTATGCCCATGTGTGATTGTGTGACTGTCCCACTATGGGTCCATTCACTACTGACATTTGCTCATCACAGTTTTTTTTTACTTTGAGTAAAAAAAAATACAGGCTATATTTGATACTAGAGTAATTGTGTCTTTTCCCTTCAGAACAACAACAGCTATCCACAGAATTTAATGGGAAATATTAAAGGAAGTGTTTTGGGACCAGAATCCTCTAGTATCTTGGTCTGTACCTTTTATAAGTGCTTACATGTTTTTCCTGCAGCAATAGTGGAGTACTTTGATGTTAGCAATTGTTATATTTTTTATCAACATTTTCTAACTTCTTTTCATGTTTTTCAGATAATCTCCATTAATTTCTAGGAGTAGGGTTGTCTGTAAAGGTTCTCCTGACTTTTTTGAGACTCACAAAAACCCCAAAAATTCAGCTGCTAGTTTTTAGGGTTTGCTGTAGAACAGAAGAAATAATTGTAATAAATTTTCTTGAATTTGCCATGGTAATATTAATCACATTTCTATAAAGCTTAGATTGAAACAAAAAATCTTACAGAAAAACTGATTGAAAGCTACTGTACAAAAATTAATTGCTTCCACCCACCCTTTCCCACAGTTCCTCAAGACATTACTATGTTTCTGTTTTAAGTGTTTACAATATAGAGTTATTTAAACCAATTCAGGTTTTAATTAAATAAGGTAGGCTGGGGTTTCTGTGAGTTTGACAACAATTTTCAATATGTAACACCAAATAGATTTTGCTTATGTTAATACCAAAGGGACTTTTATTTAACTTTCTTTCTTTATTCTACAAAAGAAAAATTAATATCACCTCTAAGGAAGTCAAAGTTATTTTGGAACACTGAGCTATTACAAAGTTTCCAGCATTGCAAATAGTGTTAGCTATTTTAAACAACATAATTCACCCTTCTAAATTGCTTTTCTCTCTTTCAGCACAGACTTGCCTCTTCATAGGATGGATTCTCAGCTGCAAAACATCCAGACCCTAATTTATGTGTACATGATTAATCAAGGTTAATAAATACCCTGTGGGAGAAACAGTCAGTGCCATTCAGAACACATTCTGTTTTCCTCCCTTTCCACAGAGTAGGCTGTTGAAAACATGTCTGATGAAATTGCAGGTTCCTTCTCTATTCTCATGAATTAATTTAATGCTTCTAATATGGGATTAGTTAAAGTACCTCTCCCCATGACTGGACAGCCAGCAGGTATGACAAATGAGTTTAAATATCTACTCTAAATCAAGAAGAGGGAGGATAAATTGACATATTTTCTTTTTTCCCCACATGATAATTGTTTCTATTTCTATAGAGTGTACTGATTTTGGGGCTTTTTATATGTGCAGCCCAAATCAATGACCCAAGCACATGTCCCAGGTCACAAATTGACTGGAGAGTAGGAAAGACAAGATTCATAGCTTGGATTTTCAAGAAAATTTTCCTTTTAGCCAGAGGTAGATGGAAGTTTATTGCCAACTTTACTATATTAGATTAAATTAGGAACCTAAGCACAATTTTCTCATGTCCTCTTTATTACATTTCTGAAGGATTTGTGCAGTTCCTTCCACTATCCTTTTCACACAGATCCCAAATACTGCCTAGAAGGGCTGGTACCTACACGAACTGGCGGTTTGTGTGTTGGAGTAGGATGCAGTGCAACAGCAGTAAAGGATTTATTCTGTATCTGAGCTGGGCAGCTGAGAAAGCCCAGCCTGGGTACAAGCTTTGAGGCAGTTTCGTTTTGCCTCTAAGCACATACAGACAATATGTGCACAGCTGAGCAATTCACTTGACCTTGCCCTTATAACATAAGGAGCTTGTATTAAAACAGGATACAGGTCTGGCCTGTCAGCCAGACTATCACTGTGTATGGAAAACCAGTGTGGTCACACATTCCCCTCCTTGTGCAGCAACCTGGTCATTAGTCTACACTTCCCAACACACAGACCAATCCTTAAGGCAGCTGGCAGTATCTGCTGGAGCACTGGAAGGTAGGGAGCCCTTGGAGTGACAGTGTCAAATGGGACCAGTATGGGTGTGCCCAGGGCTGCATTACTGGTGGGGTGAGAGGCATGCATGGTAGGGCATGGACAGAGAACCTGTCAGGATGGAACCTGTGTATACCACAAATTCTCTCTCCCCTTTGTGCCCTGGTTTTCATGTTGAGGAAAGGGGACTGCAATGACCCCCTGCAGGTGCCAGCTGCAGTGCTGACTGCCCTGGGACTCACCATCTCCTGCTATGGCTGCACTCAGAACTGCTCCCACTGATCTTGAGAGGGCTTATTCAAAATGTGATTATCTTGCCATGGATGCCAGGACATCAGAAATGGCCCTGTATGGCATGAGATAAGGCTTGGCAAGGATGGTGCTTAGGAGGTGCTAAGAAGAGCTGATGAACACTGGTGACTACATACAGAGAGCACTCCTGTACCCTGCTCTCCAGCACAGCCCTCAGCATCCATTGCTATCTGACATTTCATCATCCAGTATGTCCTAATAGCCCCAGGTAAAGATAGCAAATCAGTGTTGCTGTGTTGCTTCAGTTCCCAAGCAGCTGCCTGAGGTAAAAATGGGTTAAGCATTTGGACATTGGCCATTATTGGATTAAACCAGGATCCTATCAGTTTTTAATCTTCTATAAGATGCTGAAACATGCCTTTTAAATTCACTGCAGCCCTCACATAATTTTACTTTGACTCCTTGAATTCTTCCTGTCAGTTCCCCATCCTGTCATTCCCAGGATGAATACAGGTCTCTGTGAATTGTCTCACTCACGCTTTATAGAGAGGCAACGCTGCCCCTTTACTTATGTGTTCTATTGACCTGTTGACATAGCCAAGGGTGGTGCTGCAAACTGATTGGTGATTGGTGATAGTCTGAATTCCTGGGATACATGTGAAATGCTAATTTTATGAGTTAAACATTGAAGAGGTGCCATTAGTTTTTAAAAGTCGCATTCCCACTTGGCTCGTCTCATAATCACTGTTACAAGGAAGATTACTGGAATAAGCATAACAGTAAAAATAAGAGGGGAGAAGTCTTTTGCCTTAGTCTGGAGTTTGAAAAGACCTAGGGTTTTTTAAATTTATTTTGCACTGGACAGCATTTATGTGTCTGGTGAGTGACTCTGCTTGCTGTTTATAAGATTGTTTCTTCTCAGAAAATATATAAACCTGGGTCTGGAGGGTTTTTTTAACTGCAGGAGCTGTTTATTAACAGCAGGAGCCCATCACAGATGAGGTTGTGGAGGCGGTGTCTGAAAAGTAGAAGCAAGATAGGGTGGAGGACTGAACCTTGAGTCCACCCCTTCTTGCTTATTGCTTTGCTGCTCTTCCCTCTTCAGCCTCTCCTTTTCATGAGAAACTACTGAACGTGGAAGAAAGGCTCCACATTTCCACAGTCATGGTGCTCTTTTCTTCCCTCACACCAGTATTTATAGCCATTATGTGTGTTTTGATTGGGGTAATAATGAAGAAGACGAATGGAGAGAAGGAAAAATGTGACACTAAAAGCAAGCATCCATCTCGCCCATGGGTGGATGAAGATTTAAAAGATAGCACTGACCATCCCTTAGAAGAGGAAGGTAAGAAAAATCTTATCCTAAGCACTTTTGTTGTACTTTTGTTGTTTGAATTTTATCTGCTGATATGAATAAAGGAGGTGCAATCTTCTGGGCTTCTCCGCAGTGACAGCAATGATCAGCACAACACTGCTGCTGTGCCCTGAGCTTGTCAGCTCCCAGGAAGGAGGCATTCCTCATGTAGTAGTGTTACTCTTGGTGTAAATTCCCTCCAGACCCCACAGATCAGAGTGCAAAACACACACACACACACACACACACACATGCACATATATATGTATATATATATATATGTATATGTATAAAACATATTCTCAGAGACTCCTGTCTGTTCCTCTGTACAGCAGATCTCAGACCTATGAGGGACTCTATGGACAGTGTAAGGAAAGAGAGGAGATCCTGCTGAATTCCCCACAGTCTTTTCCTAGGCTTTATTAGTGTGAGCAAAGGGGAGATGTGAGCAGAGAATTTTTATCTGCAAGTCATCCCACTTTATCACTCAGTGCTACATATTTGGTCTCAGCACAGCTAAAAAGTTGGAAATGGGTTTATTACTGTTTTTACAAAGGTCCTCCATTTGTGGCTTCTGAGAATGTCAATGGAAGCTTTGTTGGGAGCTGCGTTGATCAAATATTTAAGGACAAAATGTGGTGGTGGTGATGATCTGGTCCCTCAGCTGCATATTTGAACCCATGCAGAATGCCCTTTATTTTCATTAGCTTTTTCTGATTCACAGCTTGGACAAAAAAGTCTAAGCTCAAAATGTGACCTACCTTCTTCTTATTTCCTAACTATCCTCCATAAACTCACTTTATTTCTTTGTAAAACAAAAATCTACAGAGTTCTGTTCCTATCAATTTTTTAAAGTTGTAGTTAATGCAGCTTTTTGTTCCCTCCCTCATGGTGATTTCAAAGACTTTTTGAAGGGTCTTTCTGTGTTATTTTTTTCCCCATAATAACACTTCCCTCAGTCTGCTTCTAGGAATCTTAAAACTTACAGTGTTTTTCTGCATATAGACCTTTTTCTAAGAACTATTATAGCTCTTTTGTTAGTGTTCAGTGTACTTTCAGCTAGTTTATCAGTTTCTGAAAATAGTTGATACCAAGAAGGGTTTAAACCCTGTTGACTATTTTCCAAATATATAAAATTTCTTTACAAATCAGTTCACCTGTTGTATCCTCCTTTGTTCAATGCAAAATAGATTCTGTATAAAATTATTCCATAATTTCTTTGTCACTAATGACTTACTACTTCAGTTAAAATGCTGCAAATTAGAATTCCTGTGGGAAGTTCAAATAATAATCTATGAATTACCATCTTGGATTATAGGTGTTTCCATCAGTTAAGGAATTTAGATCCTTTGCATAAACAAACTATTAGCTCTTATCAAGGAGCCTCACTGCCACAGCTCCATATATAAAATTTTAGTCTTTTATGTGTTAGTTGCTTTCCCTTTCATTCAAGTACTAAATTCAAAACTGTACTATTTTTTGTTACAAAAAAATTGCTTTCAAAAAAATTTTAACAGGTAGACATGTTAGTACTGATGCTAAGTTTTATTTACTTACTAAGTTTTATTTACTTTTAAATAAAACTTTTCTCAATATACCATGTCATCCAATATTAAATTTTCTTGCTATTTTTCTTTTAGTAACAAATAATGATCATTCCCTTAATGAAATGTGATTCAGACTAATTTATTTGTAAAACAGTCGTGCCTTTTATCTCTAGAAATATTAAAATAATTTAATCATTCATAGGGAAATTTTTTCTTCACCAGGAAATTTTTCTTCAGCCCAGCCTAAATAAGAAGAGTAGTAAGGAGCAGAAAGAGTTAGTAAGGATCTGTTACTTTGCTAGAGTCTTAATTAAAGATCAAAATATGTTAACCTTGTTGTCAGTGTAAAAATTTTCACTGACTGCACTAGGAAATGGAAGCTGCTGAAATGAAAACATGGATGCTGAATTAGAAACATGGATGTATAAAGAGATTTTTCTAATTCTAAAGAATACTTTACCTGCTGTGTAAATTCTGTTATTTTATAAATGTATCTTACTTTATCAGACAAGCTCAGTTCTACTTAAATGTGTTTGGCTGGTTTGTGTTTAAAGATTAAGTTCCTCTGAAGAGAATTTAAGTTAAGTAACATGAAGGTTATATTCTTATGGCCTTGTCTAAAGCTAGAATCTAGGGCTGCCCCACGTGAACAAGCTGAATTTTCAGCAGCCCCCTGAATAGTAAGGGGCAGCTGACGACCAAGTCTCTTGCTTCATGTCCCTGACCAAAGCAAGGTCTATTTGCTGAGAGAGTGAAGCACTCAGCAGAAAAACAGAATAGCACCAGCCACACTTGTAGCTCCATGAGCCTTCCCTGAAGTGGAGCCCTCAGGGATGCTTCCCACGAGAAGGACATAGCTTTGAGCAGCAGAGCATTCACTGTGAGTAGCTGAACTGCTTGGGCAGACTCAGTAGGGTCACTCATTGGCAATGAAGGGTAGAATGGTGAGGGCCAAGCGCTCCTGAGCTTGTCTGTGTTGCGCTTTCCACAGCTGAAGGGATGAATGTTTCTCGTAGCAGCCAGAAACCCAATTCTTTTGTTAAGTGCAAAGCACACAGTCTATTTGTTTAATGCTTAAACTGGCAGTACTTCAGATTTGTTTGCATGCCCATCTATCCTGTAACTTTTTTCTTCATTTATAAGGTTCAAAATGAGATATTGTTGTGCTGTGGTTTGGCAAGGACACTTGATGATACACTCTACTTAAGGACTACAAAACACACAAAGTCCCAAATGTTCCATTTCTCCTGAAAATGTGCTTGCTTGTGATACTCCTTATAATACACCTGTCCCACTAAAAAGCATTTCTCCTCTCCCCAGTTTCAAAGACTTCCCATATCTTAGTAATACTACTACTTACATGGATGAGGCAGTAGAAATTGTATCATTTAGGAACACAGGTCTCAGATGGACACAATGCATTACCATGTGTATCTTTCTGCTCCTGCAAATACATCCAGCCTTTGTCAACAGCTGAATGAACATGAAAACTGGACTTTTGTGACACTTTTTCTTTAAACCTGCTGAAAGGCTGGTCCGGAATTTGTTACTATGGATAAAAAACCCTTCTCTACCTTTCTGCCTGCCCAAACTTATTTAATACTACTGTCTATGTATTTAATCTGTTCCATCATCTTGATTTTAAAGGATTCTTTTCCAGCCCTGGTTTATGGATAGTAACCTGTGGTTTATGGATAGTAACCACCTCTCAGCTTTCCTTATACTAAGTTTTCTCTTTAAAAAGAGAAAACTATCTATCTTAAGATCATAAGAAACCTTTGGCAACTGTATTCCAGTTGAGGTAATTTTCACAATATTTTGATGCTGGGTTTTTTCTTCCAGGGTCTGTGCCTCTCCAACTTGCTACTTCTTTTGCTTAAGATCCCTGGCCCAGAGATCTTAAGGCTTCCAGGATCAGCCTGCTAACCACTATTTATAATCCACTAATAGGGTAATCCATCTCTTTTAGTTCCCTATTAGTCACACTCAGTTCAGGGCTGGATTCACTGCTGAGATTCCTGCAGTGGCCCATTTTGCAGCAGTCTGCCATTAATCAGATAAAGAACCCACAGGGTCAGTTATTCAGCATTTAAGACTAAAGATGTGAAAACTTTCTTTACATACATTGAATTTTTTTCCTATGCATCATGTCTTTACACTGGAAAAGAGAGATAGAGAGGAACTGTGTGCTCAGGAAGCAATTTTCTATGGAAGAAACTTCTTTGGAAAGCAAATGGGGTGGTCTTGACTAGAGATTCTCAAGGATCAGTCTCAGGATCAATTGTTAATATTATCTGGTGGTCTTTGCATAAAACCAAGGAGAGTAAAAGTGAAATATCTTAATGACATACAACTGGAAGCCAGCAACACAGAGAAGTGTCAGTGTAGGTAAAAAAAGTGGCCAACAGAAGTGAAATGACAACATACTGTTCTCAGTATGAGTTTTTAATTAAGAACTCATGCTTCAAACTGAGGTAGAATGTATTACATTATTTGCAGGCTGATTATAACTTCCCATATGAACTGCTGGGAAGAACATAGTTATTATCCTAAAATGTATCCAGAGAGGAATTTCTGATAGAGATAGAAAAATGTATGTTTAAAATGAGATTCCATTTGGGAAGTCTGAGCCAAAACCACTCCACATTTACTTAAAAAGTAGGAAGCTTGATGACTGCTGTAAAGGGGCAACAGAATTGATGGCAATCTTGAGAATGTGGCTAACAAGGTAATAGACTTGCTAGCAGGATGTCTGTTGTCCATCAAGTGGTGGAATACAAAGAGATATAAACAAGACACTTGTGGTATTGTAGAACGTGACTGTACAAACAGGAGTGTGTCTAAACACAGCAATTAGAGATATAGAGAGCATGCACTAAACAGATGGTGCTGATAATGATTTAAAGTTAGCATATGGATAATGTTAACTGCTAAGAAAGAATGGTAGACACATGGTGGAAGAGACTATATAATAGATCAATTTACTTTAAAAAAATTGCCAGGAGAGTTTTGGTTTTGTGTGTCAGTTCCTGCATTTCTAGGTTTTTCTGTTTCAGCCAGTTTTCCCACATTGACTGTATTGAGGTTTTCCATTCTCATTAGCCATCTCACCTTTGTCCCATGTTCAAAATCTTTGGAAGCACATTTCTTTTTTCACCTTATTATTAAGTTGAACTATCTTGACCAAACAGCAGCTTCACTTCTCTTCTACTTACACAGGAAAATCCCCCCACAACACAAAACAAGCAAGCACTCACTATTTTACTGAGTGAAAGCCACAAAGGGAACCTTATCAAGAGGCACTCTTTTACTTTTTGAATGTGCACAAGATGATCACTAATATAATCTTTACAAGGGCTCACTGCTTTCCATTAACCTGGAGCCAGGTCCTTGCAGACTATGACCAAGAGTGCTTAACACCGGCATGAAATGCTAAACAAAACAAATTCTCAGGGTGAATTCTTTGTGCACAAATGAAATGTGTGGTTTGGGGACCAGAACTATTCCATTTAGATTCAGTTTATGAAACTGGATTTATTTCACCCCTATGCACAGGCTGAGCCACACTTGTGAATATTTCCCTACTTTTAAAATGAACAAAAAGCCAGCCTAGTCTCTAAGGCAACTGCATACTACTAAAACACAGAAGTAATTGCTGTTTCTATTTGTGCTGGAGATTGCTATGATTTGGGAATAATAGCCTAATAGTGACAGAAAAAGGACTGGAATATTTTTTCCTGACTCAGCTCTCTGTAACAGATTGCTCAATACTATTGACTAGTCAAAATGTAGAATTTAAATGGCTTTAACTTCCACATCATAGCTGCAAAAAAAATGCTGCCCATGCTGATTCTAGGAATATGGGGCAGAAAGAGGCCTCAGAGACAACAGAAGATTCATTTTGTGATATAAACAGACATATTTCAGTGAAACTGAGAATAATTTTGAATTTTTAAATTAAAGACAAGAAACACAATATCCTACATTTGATATGTTGTTAGCCTAAATATAGATGCCTGACATCCATTTCCTCTTATGCTGAAAGTATCAGGAAACCAAAGAGCTTGACCACACAGAGTCACATTTCTGCAGAGCCAAAGCTTGCAATGTTTCTGCTATGAAACATGAATATGGAAGAAGTTGACATTCAGCTCTTCAGAGGAGATTTTACACATATTGGTAGTTAAGCTCTCTCATTAACTTCAGTAATTTAACTGATTTTTTTCCTTATTGAACAGCTCAAGAAGGAACACACATGTTCACATTTACTTGCTGAGAAAATTGGGCTGGAAGCCTGTCCACTTTTTCTATGCTGTTTCAGCTTGTAACCCATTTTTGCAGGCAGGCTTGCAGGCTGAAGTGGAGAAGGCAATGACTTGTTTGTGGATCACACTTACTAGAGCCCACCAGGACCCTCCTGCCTCTTGGTATTTAAACAAGTTGTTTATTCAGTAGCTGGAGCTGGGGATTGATGAGTTGTGTCACCTGGAACCTCAGACTTTGCCTTACCAGTAGGGTAGAAGCGCAGTGTATGCCAGTACAGGACAAGGTGCCTTACAGTGTGAATGCCGAGGATATCAGCAGCATTCTCCAGCAAAAAAAATCCCTAACCACTTGTATTTTCTTGCAGAGGGTGAGGAAGAGTGGCAAGGACTTGAAGAAAATGTTGCCCATGTCCCCTTCACTGGCGAGCGCTACTCTGAGGCTGAAATGATTAAGAGGTCTCAGACATTCTATGAGCTTCTAAATAAGAGGCGATCTGTCAGGTTTCTCAGTGATGAGCCAGTCCCCAGGGAGGTTATCGATAATGTCATCAGAACAGCAGGTAGGTACTGAGTGGTTCAAGGTCTGGGGAAAAAAAAAAAGGATCACCACTGCTGTTCAACTATGTAACTGTGAAAAGGTGGTGTGGAGAAGCCAAGGGAACTGGAATTTTGCTTATGGTTTTCCTAGATTCACCTGTAGCTGGAATGAATTAGCACTCATCGACTTCAGCCAGGGGTGGTTTTGATTCTTATGATTTCTCTTATTCTATGGACCAGCTGCTGCTACTATAGAAAACATTCCCAAGCTGCCTTAGAGAAAAGTTCAGTAGCCTTTAGCAAGGTTAATAATCTAAAGAATCTCCACATTTGAGGTGCATTATTTTCCCTTTAAGAACTGTAAGCAGCTTTGTTACTGCACTGTAAAGTCTCCATGTCCCTCTAATTAACCAAGCATCATTAAAACACTGAGCATGTTTTGGCAAATGCAGCAAAGCAAACAAGTCTGGCGTGCAGATGAAGTACTTAGTAACCCTGAAAGCTTTGGGCTGTGTAGAGAAAAAGAAAACAAAGGGAAGCATGAATGCCATCAGTTTTTACCCAAACCTGAGGAGAAGCAAGATTCACAATATAAAAACACTTTCATATATCAGGAAAGTTCAAGCTGCTTATTCAGCATTTCTTGAACTAAAACCAATCCTTAGTATTGTATGCAAGTTCTTCTAATATTTTTAAATGTGTATGAGGGATCAGAGATTTCAACAGTCTTCTTAATCAATATATCTGTGAACCTGTGCAGATATATATTCTTCAGCTTCTTGCTTTTAACCTCTAGGCAGTTCAAATATTTCTCCAGTGGTGTTGGTGGGTGAGAAAGTACAAATTTTATATATATATATATATATATATATATGTATAAAATATATATTAAATATAAATATAACACATATAATAGATATGTGCACACCTATGAACACCAACTGTCTTTGGGACAACAGACTCAAACCTGTATGCTCTATGGCAGATGTCTGTGTTGTACAGCTCCTTATCTTTGTCAGTCACTGACAGGTTACTGCCGGTGATCACTCAGCCTTGTTTTCCTGAAAGCCATTATTTTCACCCTTTAGCTAAAACCACATATCAGAGTTGGCTGTATTCAGACAGAGCTCTGTTTTTAGTACAACACTTTGTAATAGCATTACTGCATTCATATCTGTTGCACCATATTACTGCCTCATCATAAGAACCATCAAAAAAGGATTATTTTACAAATCTTTAACACTGGCTTCCTGTAAAATGGCAGTATAAAAGGACTAACCTCTGTTCTTCAATGGGATCTCACATTCTCTGAGAACGTAATGAACAGGATTGTCTGCCAGAACTTAGTCCTTTTCTTCCCATCTCATCCACTTACTTTCCCATTGCTCAGTTGGTCAGCCTAAAACCCACAAGGAAGAGCTGCCCACCCTCCTTCCTGGGTTTTTACTTTTCCCTGTTTTTATATGAAGGTACTTCACCTAGTGGAGCACACACTGAGCCCTGGACCTTTGTGGTAGTGCAAGATCCATATTTAAAACATAAAATTCGTGAAATTGTAGAAGAAGAAGAGGAAATCAACTACAAAAAAAGGATGGGAGACAGATGGGTTAATGACCTGAAAAGACTGAGGTATGAAAAGTCAATTACCTAAGGGATGTGAAGATAGCTGTTGTTTCAGTGAGGAAAGATTTCTATAATTTTCTATTTCATCCTCCCTCTCACTTTTAATGTTTTTCTAAAATCTATGTTTGGAAACAAAAGCTTCTAAATCTATATAGAACTGTGCCTTGGTGTCTGGTTCATAAAATTGCTTCCAGTAAAAGGGATTACATGCTCTCCATTTTGAAAGTTTTCCAAGCACTTGGCTCCATCATTATTTTTTCCTACGTAACCTCTGTGGCTGAAACTCTGGTCCCAGATTTCTTCTGTTGTTTGCCAAACAGCCAAGCTCCCAAAGTCACTAGAAACTTTGCTACCAACTGAGGAAGCCCCAAGGCTTGTCCCTATCCAAGTGCTGAATTATGCAATATTTAGTTGTTCCAAATGCCCTCCAAAGTCTGACTGACTTGCTTAACTTCACGCAATGGGAAGATATCTACTGAGTCTTGGCTTGTCAAATAGAGCACATGCACAAAATTTTGTAGGGTTGACTTGCCCTGCTGGTTTGATTATGTTACTATTTTTCAGATGCTTAGGTGCTATGCAACTTTATGTGCTATGCGAACAACTAAATGCCGAAGGTTCTTATGTTTTGAGTGACAACAGTAGAAAACACTAATTTTCTTATCTAAATCCTATATCATGATTGTAATTTAAGAAATTTGGAACCAAATGTATTGTAACAGGGATTAAATACCCAGGAAAAGAATAACAATTTTTGCCTTTGGAATATATTTAGGTTTAGACCTTAGACAAAATAGTTTTGAACTTTTCTGGGAGCAGTCTTCCCTGCAATTAGAAAAAAGTTGGCACTGCTGGTAACAGGCAAATCTGCAAAATTCCAGGAATTAAATAATCACAAAGGCAAATGCTCATGAGGCCAGTTCATAGATAAGAGGTCAAGAGCTATCTCTTATTTGTATGTAATTCCACTCTTCAGAGTGAGCACATCAACTCCTCAGCCAAATCTGTTGAAATTGAGAACTCTATTCAAGCTTTTTTTTCCTTTCTGAAATGTTTCTATTTAAGGTGATAATATTTAATGCTTTTAAGTAAATGTTCTAAGGTTTAGTCTACTGCTATAATTGTCATATACCTTTAGTGTCCTTTTGCAGACAGTAAATGTAACTTACAGGAAACTGAAAAGGTTGCAAAATAAATGTATTAAACATTCTTTTGCAGAACAAATTGGATCAAAGAGTACTTGGACACTGCTCCATATTTGATTCTCATTTTCAAGCAGGTATATGGGCGACTTCCAAATGGCAAAAAGAAGACCCACTACTACAATGAAATCAGTGTTTCCATTGCTTGTGGTATCCTGCTTGCTGCACTGCAGGTACATTGACAGAACCAACATACTGTGAGTCAATATATTAGTTTGGATTATCTACCAAGACCGTTCTGCCCAAATGTGAGTGGAACCTAGTTTAGATTTTAACATTTTCTGTCTTCTGAATTACTCCAATTCCTGTCAATATGTCTTAGTTTTGAGTTTTAATGTTATTCTACAGAGGGCTACATCTGAGAAGGTGATTCCTATCCTCAGTACTGGTCAACAGGAAGAAAAATATAATGTAGCTTTCAGAGTTGTCACTCTTCTCGGCACAGTCTTCAGCCCCTGTGGTTTCTGCCTTATGCTAACAGGGCTGACAGGCTCTTTGGAGTACGACTGTGTGGTGCCACACTGGCCCCTTCTTTTCAGTAATCCCTATAAAACAGCTTGACACCAAACCACTTTTAGTATACAATGCTGAAAAAAAAAATCAGGGACATATTCCACAGAACTTGCTGTACTATTTCAATCAGTCTTTCTGAGATATTTCTGAAAGTGAACTGATCTGTAAAGCTCAGCATGTTTAACACCAGCCAGTTAGATTTTCTCAGTAGTTTCTCAGTGCTCAGTTCTGCTTCTTGTACCTGATGTACTCACACAAGTGTTAAATAGAGAAGCTACTCTGATAGTTAACCTGGCCTGTCAGCAAGATAACAGCAAGGTGCCTCCTTTTATATTAGGCCAATTTCCTACCATGCACTGCCATTTCTCCTCCATTCTGTTTTGAATGACACTTTCTTTTGTGCACTGCTGCTCCTCAGGCACCATTCAGCACCACCAGTGTTTGCTCTAATCCTCTTGAGAAGATTGTAGAGATTACTTTAACGTGATGGGTGCATTTCCTGGGCACCTCTCCTTGGCTGACTTGTATCTCAAAGCCTCCCAAAATGCTTGCATTTCATAGACAGAGAGACTGAAATCCACATGTGCAGTTCTCAGGAAGTGACTCAGCTGTGTGATCACACCTTGGATGATGTCAGTTCTTTATTGTTTGTCCAGATTTTTTGGGGTTTTTGTGAGATCTTGAATGAGAGGAAGAGTGACACATAGACTTATTTTGGGATTCTGAGGTAATCCATAACAATGGCCACTGTGAGAGATGCCAGCAGACTGCTGTGACAAATTCTGAGGCAGAGCCTGTGCCCTCTGTCCCTGTGAGGTACAGCTCATGAGGAGGAACTCAAAACAAGGCTGTAAGGCATCTTTCTGCCAGCTGTATGGAGGCAAGAACTGAAATAGTTCTCTGTAAGAGCCAGATCATAGAATCAGGGAATAATTTGGTTTGGAATGGATGTTTCAAGATCATCTAGTCCAATCACCAGCACCATGGGATGACATTCCAATCATACCCCCACAACTGCCTCTCAGCTTCCCTGTGGCCATGGATTCCCCATCACACTGGCACAGCAGGCAGGCTGTGGCTCTGCAGTACACAGACATGGCAAGGCAGACTGTGCTGTTGCTGCAGGGGAGAAATGCTCTACTTCCCTGTAAGCAGAGCAGGCATCTTTTATGGTGCCACTGAGGCTGACAGTAAATCAGGTGTTCTAAAGGCTGCAGCAGGTCTAATGAAGCAGCATTTCCAGACTAGTTGACAGAAGGATGTGTACAGGTGTGGTGAGAAAAAGTTGCTGTCTTGCTGCAGAACGCAGGGCTGTGCACAGTGACCTCCACACCCCTGAACTGCGGCCCCCAGCTCCGGGTGCTGCTCCAGCGGCCAGCAAACGAGAAGCTCCTGCTGCTGCTCCCCGTGGGCTACCCCAAGGAAGACGCCACTGTGCCTGCGCTGAGGCGGAAGCCTCTGGAAGACATCATGGTGGTCATGTGAGCCCAGCGCCAGGAGAAGGAGAGCAACCCTGCTGACAGCTGAAGATGTCACTGCAGTTTCTGTGCATTGTCCCCCTATGTCGCCATTGCTCTGGCTGTTTGCATCTCCATTTCTTTTAGTGCTAGTAATCTACTAACAGCAGTGAGCAGTCGAGCACTGTGCCTTGGACAGCTGCTGTTACTTACCTGACCAGGGAATATGTACAATGGCATTTAAATTATCTCATCACTTGATTTTTCTCATGTATTAAATCTCTTCTTGAACTGGAATATATATTTTCCTTATACTTTTGTGATTGCCATTACACAGTTATTTTAACTTAAGAATTTTAATGAAGGTTGTATTAAAAGATACAAAGAAGTTAAGCTGAGCTCCTATCTTGGTCAGTGTGTGCTGTTTAAATGCCCCTTCTTTACTGTGTTCAGCTGTGTGTAGAAAGACGCTATTTTCCTCCTATATGGTGGGATTTCTTTACTTGATTTATTTCCAAAACTTTCTCTGTACCAGGCTTTCTTAAACTATTGTGGCTACGAGTGTCTCGTAGGTAGGGGGAAATTAAGTGGGTACAAGGCATTCAAATAATTTGCTCGTTACCATTTATTTGTACATGTTCCAAGCACAGTGAGATCACGTAGTAACTATCAGTCGTGTCCCCGGTACTTCGTTGCTTCCACTGGAAGTTGCTATCTGGTTACCCTGTTCATACCTACACCTACAGCAGTTTAACACCCTGAAAGTGAAACTGCTCCGAAGCCCGTGGCACGGGAGCGGTGCTCTCACGCCAGCCCGGTGCGGGATGCGGGATGCGGGATGCGGGATGCTGGAAGGGCAGGTGCCGGTGCCCGGGCGGGCGGAGCCCCCTCGTGGGGCCCGGGTCCCGCCGGCTCCGCCCGCAGCGGGAGGGGAAACGCTCCGAGAGACGCGTGCTTCCCGCAGGGCTCTGTTCGGGAAACACCTCCCCACCCTGGTCTCTGCGGCTTCCAGCGCCAGGCACATTCAGCCAAATTGACTTCAGCCGTCCTTGAGGGGTGAGAGGCTGGAGAGCAGAGCCGCGGAAAGGGACCTGGGGGTCCTGGTCAGTGGCAAGTTGTACATGAGCCAGCAGTGCCCTGGCAGCCTGGAGAGCCAAGCCTGTCCTGGGGACATCAGGCACAGCACGGCCAGCCAGGCAAGGGAGGGGATTGCCCCACTCTGCTCTGCTCTGCACTGGGACAGGCTCACCTCCAGTGCTGGGGCAGTTTTGGGTATCACAGTATAAGATAAAAAATTGTTAGAGAGCGTCCAAAGGAAGAGCAACAAAGATGGTGAAGGAAGGACCTGAGGGAATGGCCTGAAGTTGTGTCAGGGATGTTTAGGCTGGTATTAGAAAGGGGTTCTTAATCCAGAGGGTGGCTGGACACTGGAACAGGCTCCCCAGGGAAGTGGTCACAGCACCAAGCCTGAAAGAGTTCAAGAAGCATTTGGACAATGCTCTTGGACACTCGGTGTGATTCTTGGGGGTGGTGCTGTGCAGGGCCAGAAGCTGGACTTGATGATGCTCGGGGGTCCCTTCTAACTCAGGATATTTCTGTGTTCTGAGTTAACTCACTACTTATCTGAAGTCCAACCTGGTCCAGTGCAAGGCTCAGCAGGGGGACTGAAAGTACAGGATATTTAAAATTCCTTCCAATTCAAACCATTCTATGATTCTACAAGTCAAATCCCATTTACTATCACTTGTCAGCTGAACAAGAGGAGCAGATAAAATTTTGGCCATGTCAATGTCTCTGTCATCTAGTGGGAAAAATTGTTTTCCTCTTTGACAGACCATTTTGCTTGTATTTAGCAGATGCGGTGATGTCATTGTTGTACTGGCCTGTTTCATGTTCTCAGTGGTACCGCTATGGCAGGAAGTTTCTTGTGCAGGCCTAGTCTGAGATCAGCTCTTGTAACTACAGTAAAAAAAAAAAAAAAAAAAAAATAAAAAAAAAAAAAAAAAAAAAAAAAAAAAGGAATTCCTGGATCTACACACTGTCAAAGTCTAAAATCTAGTAAGGGAGGTAGGGATGAACTGAACCAAGCCAAGAAGCCAAGGCTGATCAGCTGCAGGTGCCCAGTTATCAGGAATACATATTAAAGTCACTGTTGCAAGTTTTCCTTCTGCGCAGATGCTGCTCTGCCCCATTATGCCCCTTCACAAGCAGTTTGTACCTGTTGGTACTACTATATTTTAATTCAGAATTCACATCAACAAAGGGAGGACTGAATCTGTGTCAAGTTGCAATCTTTCCTACAGAAATAAACTCTCAGCTACAGAAATAAATTGCTTCTGCCTGGTCTCAGTCTACAAAATAAATGACACTCAGAGAAAATTTACTAAATGAATTCAGTTTCAAACAGCAGGAGCTTGCATATATAAGGCTATTTCTAGTGTGGTTTCACAACTAAAAAGCAAAGAACTAAAACAGTCTGAAAAACACATTAAAAATTGTCACAATAAGAAGCATTGGTATATACCAATATACCTCTTCACACCAAAGAAGCTTAATGGTTGTTTTTTTTTTTCATCTATGTTTTCATTCTGGACACTAAGATACACATAGCAGTTTAAAAACTCAAGCCCTCACACCTACTAGATGGGAAAGATTCTATCCAAAAAGCATTTCTGGAATCATGAAATATAAGTAAAATAAGCTGCTTTTTTCTTCTTTTGTTTTCTTCTTTCCCTCCCTTAAAAATGCTTTTTCAAATGGAAATACTTCAATAGTATTACTACTGCTGATGATACTGCAGAGTCTTTTGTAAATCATGTTAGTACTCCTGTGTGACAAGCCTACTTGGAATTGCCACTGTTCTCTAACAAGTGCACTGTTTTTACTTAAAACACAATTAAATAATAATAAATTTTGCCTTTCCATGCAGCTCACAGTTGACTAAAATGATGGTTGGCATTTAAATTGTTTTACATTTAACTAGGGATATCTTATTGGCATTTGTTCAATTTCAAGGTAAAAAATGTTTTTTCTGCTATCTAAATGGACTTTCCCACGTTATCACTAGTGTCCCTTGCCTGCTGGCCTAGTGCCACCCATCTCCAAGAGAAGTCTGGCTTCCTCTTCCCTGTGTCTTTCCATCAGGTAGCTGCAGATAGCAACTGGCTCTCTCCATGTCTGGGATCTTTCTTCCTTGAACTGCATGGACTAATTTGTGTGTGTTCAAGGACTCTTGCTGTCTGAAATTTTCCCACAAGTCAGGTCTAACATGGTGGGTTGTATTTTGCTCTTGAAATCAGGTGCAACAAGGTGGGTTGCATGACAATCCAGATAATTAAAGGAATAAGTATCACATTTGTTGGAACAACAGGCAACTGCTCATCTCCTCCCACTGCAAGGCTGACTGAACTGGCGTTGGTTTCAGTCTGCCCTTGAACAGGGAGCTGGAAGATATTGAAGCTGGTGTTCATCAGCAATCCAGGCAGTCGTGCCATCAGGCAGGGAAGCATTGCTCCTGGAGCAGCACACTTTACCTACTCCACCGTCTTCCTTTCAACACAGGTGAGCCAGAACTCAAATGATGCTGCTAGAAAGTTTTTGAACTGAGGACTCTGTTCCACTGGTCTATGTTCCCATCTCCTCCACAGCTACGTGATCAAGTTTAAGATTCCCATAAGTTAGCTGGGCTGTAGTAACCATCTAAGTGCTCTCTGCTGGATGGAACTTGCAGGTTGTCAGTATTTAGCTTCTTTGCAAGTAGTCTAAAGGTAAGTGTTGTTATTTTGAATTTGACAGAAATAACTGTTCCCAGGCAGATTTACTGGGTCTGAGCTGGTCCACATGGATGGAACAGGTTGTAATGTATTAGCCACGTGTTTGAGCATTTCTTACCATACAAATTCACACTACTGCAATAAAAGTAAAGCAACTTCTGGGTGTGAGGAAGTAACAGCTTGATGCTGTGAACCTCAGATGAACAAAAGTGCACAAGCCCCTACCTCAGGTTACAGTTTTACTCTGATTAAGCTGCAGCACTTCAAAGACATTTAAGCAAGTAGATGTGCAGTCAGCATCTGATTGATTTATTTCTTTAATTGCTACATAGATGTCATGGGCCCATGAAAAATCAATCTTGAGAAATAATCCAGCTTGCACTCCAAGGCAGGATCAGCTATACTTGAATGCCAGGTACTGACAAAACATGAATCTACAGCACTAATAAACTGCTCCCAGCAAAAGACTTGAAAGAAATAAAAATGCAAATGCTAATTCTGCCAGCACATACAAGTCCTAAGAAGTTTTTGTTTCCAGAAGGGCTCAGTCTTGGCATCATGTTGTGTCACTGATGAGACCTCCATGAAGATCATTACGGAAGAGGTTGGGCTACTGTATTGTTTTTTAATATTTCCACCCACCTGAGCTTAGTCAAAGCAGAACAGCCATTGTACTCATGACTTAAAACTCTCAAGGAATTTAATTTTTTTTTTTTGCGAACTTTACCTATATCAGGCATCTACAAGAGCCAAGCCTTTGCCCATATAGACAGAACTCTCCTGTGCTTGTAGAGTGTAAATAATGAGAACACTTAATTGGATGAGAGCTGGGCAACAGTTCCCTTCAAATTTAAGATGGAAGAGTCACTGAAGCTTGAAGTTACCAGTTAAATACACATCCTGTTTCAGGTTGTGCATGTGTATTAACTTAGCTACAAGATTGGAACTGATTTTAACTAATTCTGATAGAAACAACAAAGGCATTCCAAGACCCAGGTAACACAGTGTAAGACATGGGAGTGCTGGTCAGCAAGATGGATGATAACCATGACCTCAAGGCATCAGTTGCCAAGTTTTTTGAGACATACATTTGAGAAAAGAGGTGTTTGAAGGATTTTAAAGAGAACTCTTGGGATTTTTTTATGAGGAGCTGCCCTGTGCCTGAGGGTAAGTTCTTATCTATTACTTGAGGGCAGGATCTTGTAGCTGAGACCTCAAGTGACTCAGCTGGAAAGGGTGAGACCAGAGTCCACCAGTTTTTCCCTGCAATGTGACAGCAATGGTGAAGTTATCCTGAGGAGCACCTCCTGCAAATACCAGGTTCAAAGTGTGAATATTGGGAGTCAGATAGACAAAAGCACAGCTATGGAGACCCACAACAGGCACAGATATGCTTCAAAGAGAGGATCTGCTTTAACATTTTTCAGTTGTATATGCAATAGGGACGTGGGTCTGTAGATTATGCACTGGATTTTAATGAAGCTTTTTGTGTCATTGTTTTTGTAGTGCAAATGGTCCAAATGTCAGAAGGCTTTTAGCATCTTCAAACTATTCCTTTAGCTCACTCATAGGATAGCAACTATTCATTCAGCTTGCAGAAGGCTGTCACAGCCAATTCTCTGCGGGACTAAT